TGGTAATTAGCGTCTTATAATATATATCATCCTAAAACACGCTATATACATAAACCTACCACAATTAATAAATTTACACATTGGTCCTCCTGCAGACAGATTTTTTACACTGTCGGAGATAATCTATACATCACATCCTACCGAGACTGGACAACATTAGACATCCTAAAAATTATGACATGTGTTTTGCATGAGCTGCTATTGCAGAGATTGCTTACACTCCTACCCCCCCCCCCCCTCAGTGAAAACTGTCCAGTTTCGCCTGGCTATTCACAAGATCAAAAACTCATTCACATAATCATATATAATGAACCTGTGAAAAACATCTGTAACAATATATAAGCAAGAACACCCCAGGCAAGATCTTACATTATATATACAATACCAAAACGTGCCACTAGTTAAAAAACAGGTATGAATGGGTCACTATTATGACAAGTTACATTGGTCATTTTAAATTATGCACAACTACATATATAGGTAGACACGTATGGTTACAGGTTACAGAATCTCTACTAGCAAGACTCAGGTCCAAGCATGAAGGTTCTATTCCTCCCATAACCACACCATCTACACCCTGCCACTAAATACCTATGATACAATCAAAATGTTTATATACTAACATGCTTACATACATCCTTACAAAACATGAAGGAATCCTTAAATAAATGTATAATCATCTGTGTTCACAATAACACCAAGACACATTACACTGGATATCTAAATTTACATAATTATGGAGATAAGGTTATAACATAATGTCACCTCAACCAGGTGACAATAACTGCCAACGATAATATTTCTTACACCTCAGAAAAAGTGCGTTAGTTCAACAACTCTCACTTCCATCAAATCACACACAACCTTAGCAACTGTCAACCCCTGGAGGCGACCCCGTTTCATACCCCTGACATCCCTTCCCACAATAGCATACACCATCCCTATCCTACCCCTCCTTCCTGATGTACAAGTCTAATAATACCCCTAACGTTAGTTCTCTGTATCCCACTGGAAAATCTCTTTCCCACCTCCACCCATAAATATCCCTGTTTCGACACAATGTTTTATTAAACGTTACCGCTAATACCCGCCGCTTCACCTCGCTAACCTCTTTCCCCCGCAATCCCCACGATATGTAAATATAATCTACCATAATGTACCCCACAGCCCTAATAATACTCTCATCCATACCCCCCATGTCAAGACTTAATGCCCGCAGAACAGAAATGCTTTGACCCCTTATTCTATGCAGCACCCTGCTCAACCAACCCCTGACGCTCCCCATCCCCTCACAAAAATACACTACTTGGAATGCAGAATCCTCCCCTCCACATATTCCACAGACCCCCCCCCTCAACCACCCGTCTATCCCGTAAAACCACACCCGACGGTAAAATCCCATGCAAAAAACGATACAACACCTCACGCCCACGGGGTTGTAACCTTAACCTACTGAACCTTCCCCATATACTTCCCCAGTCATACATGGGGAAAATCCCCTCCACCGGTGCCAGTACCCTCCCCACTAACATCCTACACAGCCTACCTATTTTTACCTTCCCCAGATCCCTAACCAACACCAGAGCCCTCAAAATAGTTTCACATTCACGCAACTCTACCCCAGAATACATATGTTTCAATCTACTGTGTATCTTGACCCCCCCCCACCCACACCCTCCCTCATCACCTCCCTCTTAATGAAGATACATTTGACCCTCCGCTTTAAATTCATTAAACCCAACCCCCCCTGACGCACAGGTAAAATTACCACATCCCTTTTAAGCCAATCACAGCCCGAACCCCACAAGAATTTAAAAACCCTTCTAAGTACATTTGCAATTGCCGTCCCAGTTAAAGGGAACATGGCTGCCACGTGCCAAACCTTACTATACAATAAGACGTTAATAACAATGGCACGCTGCACAAGGGTCAAATGATAAGGCCGCAATACTCCCAAGCAACCCAGAATCCTGTCTACCAACCTAACCGAGTTTTCCACACGTGCAACATCCAGATCATCTACATAGATAAGACCACAAATTTTTAACGAAGTCACCCGCTTCGTCACAACTACACTACTCCACCCAACCCTCCCCACCCAAGCTCCTAACCCCATGACCATGGACTTCTCTGAATTCACTCTCATACCAGTTGCACCTGCGAACATGTTGACTTCCCCATCTAAGGCGTCCATTGACATCCCCTCCCTAACCAGAACAGTAGTATCATCTACATACCCTATTAGAACTGGCCAAACCCTCCCAACTCCACTCCCTTCCCCCTCACTAATGCCCATTTGCTGCACCACCATTCTATGAAAAGGGTCCTGTATGCACGCAAACAAAAGCTGTGACATAGGACACCCCTGTCTAAGTCCCATACCCATTACAATCCTCCCCCCCAATCTTCCATTAATCTGTACCCTCGCCATTGCCCCATGATATAATGCATCTACCCATCCCACTGTTTCTTCCCCAAAACCCTTGTCGCCTTAGGATAGCTCTCAATGCTTCTCGCTCCACTCTATCATATGCTCCTTGCCAGTCTAGAGCAACCAAGCCCCCCCCTTCCCCCTTTTTCTTCCACGAAAACCTGTAGTAACCCATGCCCCTCCCCCATAATTATAAGTTGTTTGCTAAGATTTTAGGAAACAGGTTTAAGTGTGTAGTAGGCGGGTTGTATCGAGAACTCAGTTTGGGTTGCCAGGGAGGTCTATACCTCCCTGGCAACCCAAACTGAGTTCTCGATACAACCCGCCCTACTACACACTTAAACCTGTTTCCTAAAATCTTAGCAAACAACTTATAATCCACGCATAACAACGATATTGCCCGGTAGTCCCTAAGATTGCTGCCCCCTTACCCTTCGGAAACCAAGACTACTACAGCTGTTGCCTGCTTTTCTCCCAACGTGCCCTTCTCCTTCATCAAGTTTAATAACCTCACCAAAAAAACCCTCATTAGCTCCCAATGCTGTTGATAAAACTTTGCCGGTAGTCCATCGATTCCCCCTGGCGCTTTGCCCTTTAAAAGCATTTCATTTTTAAAGCTCTCCATATTTCCCTCCTCAGTTATTTCCGCACCCAGTGCTTCCCTATCACAGTTTCCCAACCGACATATCACACTCCCACAACACCATGTTCAAAATTCCTCAGCTCCTACCTCTAACTCTTCCCAAATTTACTGCTCATACCACTTTATCCGCAAAACTCCCATACCATCTGTAGTTTGTATAACCTGACCCACCCTATACCCACCCACCGACTCATGAACTTCCAACCATGGAATAGCTGTTGCCTACTGACGTTGTTTTTGCCTATGCAATACACATGACGACGGCCTTTTCTCCCCCATAACACCTCCTCCACCCCCGCCATTACTCTCACCATTTGGAACCTCTCATCCTGGATTTATCGCAGCCTCCCCTTAATTACCATAATGTCATCCATAGGATAGGTAGCCTCCACCGCCCCCCTTACATAACAACCCCTTAACCTGTCCTTCAAATAGTTATTGAACCCATGTTTTAAAGAATTGATCCGTTTCCCTTCCCGCACATAATAATGCCGAATCCGTTCCTTAACCACACCATCCCACCACGTCACCACATCCTCTACCCCTTTTACCTCCTCACTTAACCCCTCCCACAGTGCTGTAAAACCCTCCAACCCCTACTCATCTTCTAACACACTCGTATTTAACTTCCAGTATCCCTTAGAGATGCTAGCTAATGACTCCCACTCCACCTCTGCCACTACCGCCCGATGATCTGAAAAAGCTACTTCTATTGTACGGACAAACTTTGACAAAACCCCATGAGATATGAATAACCTATCTAACCTAGCCGCGTAACCTCTCCTCACGAAAGTATGCTCTACCTCCCATGCCCCCCACCTACCACATCCCTCAACTGAACATCCACCAAGAGATTTTGTAAGGCTGCCAACATGTGCCCCGCCTCTTGTGGTTCCACGTCAGCTCTCCTAATTACACAATTCCAGTCCCCACCAACGATGGCCACCACAGGTAAACCACGTAAGGCAAAAACTAGATCATCACACACAATCCCTCTTTACTTTCATACCGTTTTTCGCTGGTGCATACACACTTACAAAGGTTACCCTCTGCCCCATCCACCACCCATCCACACGAAGCACCCTCCCCCTCCCCCCCCCTCCCCCTCCCCCCTCACTTCGTATCAACACAAACAGGCTCACCTCCTTTATCAATAAACCCACACCACCTTTCAAACATGCAGATGGCAGAGTCAAAACCTTAAACCCCACCACCTCTAGCACTCTTCCCTCCCTGAAATTATGCTCCTGTAGAAATACGACGTCCACCTATATTTACATAGGAGCATACGAAAACATTCCCTCTTCACTCTATTACACAGTCCATTCACATTCACAGTCATACACCTAAGGCCTTCCTAAAATTTCCAACCCTTCCTCATCTCATCCTTCCCAGGGCCTCCTGCCCCAGGGTCAACACATGATTTCGCACCATCCACCTCGCCCCCCTTCTTTCGATGCCTCTTATCCTGGCTACCTCGAGAATATTCATCCTTCCTCCCAGACCTCTGTGCCGTCGTCAGGACATCATCTGAGTCTGACGCCGCCACTGTCTTCCTGGTGATGTCCTCCACCGCCATGCTGTGTTTCGAGGATTCCTCACAGTGAACTTCAACCTCCACTGTTTCATGTTGCACAGAGCACGGTGACTCTTCTCTGTGCCTGCTGATCTCCTTCCTTCATATGCACGTCCCGACACTCTCTCCTTGCAACTCAGTGACGGTCTCCCATACAGGGACGTCATCCTCCCCAGATGGAGTTAAAGTTTTCAAAACCTTGTCCAGCTCTTCCTCCAGCGCCATCACCTCCTGCTGCACTAGCACTTCCTCCCCCGTCACCAGCAAAGTGGCCATTTCTGGCTCAACACAACTCATGGCTCGCCCATCATTCGCCACAATGGAATCTTCAACTATATCACTCTACAGACGGCCACCTCCTCGTTTGCCCGTGGGACTCTCCACGACGGCATCCACACCTATAACTGGTGCTCCACCAGTCTGCACCATCCCCCTCTGTTGCACACACGTTGCCGCCATGTGATCGTACTCCCCACACAGCCTGCACGTACGTCGCTGCCCAGCATAAGACACAAGAATCTGGGTCCGGAACTCTTTCATCACAACGTAAGACGGGATCGGATGCCTCAGAGTCATTTTGAGGGAAAATGTACCCTCCGGACGGCCCATGTATACACCTGCCGCCCACTTGCCTTGGGTTGCCAGATGCACCGTACCATACGCCTCAAACATGTTCCTTATGTCAGCCTCGTCAGCCTCGACGGGGACGTTGCGCAACTTCACCCACGTATAATGGCGAGAGACGTCTATGAGACGCACTCTTACAGCCGGGGTTGCATCTAGACTCACATGCTGGAATTTCGTCACCAACGACTCATACACAGCCGCCGAATTCAACTTAACGAAGATCCTGTAGGCCCCATTCAGGGCTACACCATATACCTCGTCGTCTTGTATTCCATACGTCTCTCTGATGATCGTCGGTAGCAACACCGACAGTATTCACTCTATGCCGTACACTCAGCGCCATGTTGTTGCTATGAGAGCTCGCCTAAAAACAGCAGAGGGGTGCAGAGCACAACCGCGCTCCACCGCAGTCAGGCAGCGAAATGTTGTGGTGTAATGAGGTGCTTTACTGACAATGTTTCGCCCATACAGTGGACTTCATCAAGTCTCAAACATTTGTATTTATTCTTAATCCAAGCTAACTAAAGCAACCCTAACCATTCTTAATCCAAGCTAACTTAAGCTACCCTAACCATTCTTAATCCAAGCTAACTTAAGCTACCCTAACCACTCTTAATCCAAGCTAACTAAAGCTACCCTAACCATTCTTAATCCAAGCTAACTAAAGTTACCTAACCATTCTTAATCCAAGCTAACATAAGCTACCCTAACCATTCTTAATTCAGCCTAACCAAAAATAATCAAATACTTATAAGTTTCAATAAATATTCTAACTTACGATTTTTAATGTTCTAAGAAGTAGTTTTAATAAGCGTTATAATAAATATTTTTGTGGCAAGTAAAATTACTGACAACAGAAATGTCAAGAAGTTAAGTTACCGGGAATCAAGTTACCGGGAGTCAGATTCCCGGTATATAATTGCATTAAACAAGTCTAACACAAGCTTTTATCGATTTAAATAAGATATTATAATAATCTTTCCTCATCTAGAATCAGTAATGCGTATTTTGAAATCATACCAGTGATGCAAAAAAAACAAATGAATATGCGTTATTTAACAAATATCTTTGATACAATTTAATATACTGGAATTATGATACTTCTATGGAGCTGATGTTCCTGAAAATCATAAGTCCTTAAGACCTGGTGACATAGTGATTATTGACAATGATGGTCCGAGGTCCCAATGGCCACTTGGAAAAATTGTGACCATATATCCTGATGCAAATGGAATCATCAGGACAGTTGATGTTTTGAGCAAAGGTGTAGTGAAAAAGCGGACATTAAATAAACTAGTACCGTTAGAATTACAGAGTGTTGAAAACAAAATCAGTGATTCTCCAGAAACCACACAGACTAAAGCTGTTCACAAAAGACAAGCAGCAGTGGTGGCGAGTGAGAAAATTAAATTAATGTTAAGTGATGAATAGTTCACCTGCAGCGAACCTCCGCCGCTCCCCAGTGTGGAGAAATTTTCTCCAGGAGGGGGGTATCAGCCCCCTTCAGCCCCCTTCAGCCCCTTCAGCCCCTTTCAGCCCTGAGGGGCCCAGCCCTCTCAGAAGGGGCAAATATCTTGTTTACTGCTACAGCAAGTAATTGATAGCAGATGCAGTAGGAGTATGGGAGTGGTCGCTTCGACCGACTCTCCTTGCAGACTCCTGTGTTGCAAAGTGTAGTTTAATAAGAGACAGTCCATCTCTTACCTTAGCAGGACAATTAAGGAAAATCCTGTTCCCACTTTATTATCATGGTAAAGATAGTGTATATTGTTGTCTATGCTTATGACAGCAAGAATCAAACATTCTGCTTTGCTTCATCGAGGAAGTGGCAAGGAAGCAAAAAGTACTAGGTCAGCTTTTCCTTTGTGCTGGGGGCAGTAACGGCGTGGGGTGCTGTGGTGTCTTCAGATTACTTTTGACTCTACTGAGAGTGACACTGACGCCAGGATAACCAACAAAGAACACTGATCTGTGCGTTAGTGTGAACAAAGTATCTCATAAAACACAATAAACACTTAAGAGAAGTGTGATCAGCTTCTTTAGTGATAAGATTGTGAACAATAAAGACAAATCTTGTGGAACATAGTGTACCAGTGTGCATATTCCTAGACTATGGAAGACGTGGACATCCAAGGACACTTCAGCTTCTATCAAGTCACTGATATCTGTTGAAGGTGTGAAGAACACCATAGCTCACGCTACAAGAGCAAGGTAGGTTACGAATTTCTTGTAGTATGGGGGACTGCGCAGTTCTTGAGTTGCAAGGAGTTTGTAATCAACCTATAGTTGGCAGTTAGGTGCGGACTTTTGAGTCCACACAAGTAAGTTTGTCAGCCATCAGTGAATGAAATATGCTGACATAACACCCCCTAGGGGTAATTTATTGTTTACATAATATGATCTATTCCAGCCCGTTGAGAGATGATCATGACAACAATTCAAGACCTCATCTGCAGGGGCGGCTGTGTAGACGATTTGCTGTCTTTTATCAGCTAAGAGTTCCCTTTATTTAAAAATTATAAATTATATCTTAGTTGGTAATCCCATTTCTCAACATTTTGTTTAGTGGGAGTAGGTATACTCTTTATATACTGAGTTGAAGGTTTATTATCCACTGGATTTGTGGATTCTTCATCTTGTCTCGTTGCTTGCATGCATGAAACTGTTGTTTGTAAACCATTGCTAATTTCTTCCCAAGTGAAATAGCATTTATTGAACATAATATTTAATCCTTCAATAGTTTGTGGTGAGAACTTATCCTGTACAATACCACTGATAAACCAATCACATTGTCTTAGGTCATATTTAGCATCTAGAGATCTGAGACTATTGTCTAATGCGATTCTAAATGCTTGTAAGTCTGAAAAACAATGTTTGGGTGGCTTCAAGCTTGATATTAAGACTGCATGTCTAACTCTGGCCTTGTCAGCATCAAAGTAATTGTCTACTAAGACACGTAAGACTATGTGATAATTACCTTTAACCACCGGAAATGACTTAATCAGTTCATAGGGTTCTCCCTTCACAAGACATTTAAGGTAACTGAACATAGCAAAATCATCTATGTCAGTTCGTGAATTTACTATGGACTGAAAACCACTAATGAATTCTTCATAATTATGACCTTGGAAAATATGTACTGACAAGGTAGGTAAACTTGGTAATGGTACACTTGTTGTTGTTACAGGTGTAACAGGTGTTTGACCACTAGTTACAGTAGGTCTCTGTGACAGAGTTTTGCAGCAGATAGCCTGTACTCCTGTCCACCTTAATTGTTGATTACTAAATGTATCCAAAACATTTTTAATTTCATCCTCAGATGGATCTGATTCAAGAAATTTATTTTCATGATGTGTATAGTCTGAATTAATTATTTCCAGACGTTGTGTAAGTAATTCAAATTTGACCTCAAGATCATCAAAATCTATGTTTGTATCTTGAGTTAATCCTATACAGAATGAAATTAGATTTTCTAATTGTGTAATCTTAGTCTGTAAAGACTGAAACTGAGTTTTCAAACAAACCATTTTAATGGTATACTGAAAATTCTAGCACCACACTGTACTGCTATAAACAGCTGAGTTTTTGTTATGTGGTGTCCCACTCAAGAAATTTGTGGATAATAAATTATGGCTCCATGGACCGAACTGGCTCTCTAATGAAAATAACTGGCCTCAGCAAAAAGCTCACATTATGCCAGAAGAAACAGTTTGCTTGAACACAGCAGAAATAAGTTGTGTAAATACTGCAGACACAACAGAAATAGTCATTGATGGATCTAAATACTCATCTTTGGGTAAACTCTTAAGAGTTACAGCTCTTGTCTTTAAATTCATTAAAGGAATAAAACCTGATTATGAATGTCTTGAACCCATTAAATACTGGGTGAAACTAATACAGAAAGACGTTTTCTCTACAGAATATAAATTTCTAGAAACACAAGATAAATCCCCAAAGAAACCTGTTATGATTAATTCTTTAGGACTTTTTCTCGACTCAGAAAAGATTATAAGATGTCGAGGAAGAATTCATAATTCTTCACTACCTAAAGAAGCCATACATCCAATATTGGTCCCCAAGAATCATTGGCTAACAAAACTGATTGTGCAAAACGCTCACAGTAACGTGTTACATGGTGGGGTAGCTGACACACTTTGTCATTTACGACAATCCTACTGGATACCTCAAGGTCGACAAAGTGTGAAAAAACAAATAAAGGATTGAATTACTTGTCGTCACTACGATATGCGAGTATGTCAGTATCCAGGTCCACCTCCATATCCCTCTGAAAGAGTTTGTCATGTCACTCCATTTGAGGTGACAGGTGTAGATTACACTGGACCAATAATTTTAACCAAAACAGTTGACAAAGTTCCCATCAAGGTGTACATCTGTTTGTTCACTTGTGCTACAACTAGAGCAGTACATCTAGAAGTAGCCACTGACATGTCTGCTGAAACTTTTATCAAATTATTCAGAAGGTTTGCAGCCAGAATGGCATGTCCCAGAATGATGATTTCAGATAATGCAACGAACTTTGTTGCTGGTGCTGCTTATATAAGCAAGATCTTTGATCAACCAGAAGTACAACAGATGCTGAATCAACGCAGTTGTCATTGGAGAAACTTTCCTCCTAAATCTCCATGGCACGGTGGATTTTATGAAAGAATGATCAGCAAAGTAAAACGTTTAAGGAAGACTCTTCATCGTCAGAGAATAGACTTAGAAGAATTCTGTGCAGTTGTGACTGAAATAGAAAATAGAGTCAACAACAGACCTCTAACTTATGTTACCGATGATATGGACAATTTAGAAGTGTTAAGTCCATCTTATTTACTACATGGCAGAAGGCTCAAACCTGTTCCTCCCATGAATGATAAAGAAATCGTAGAGGATCCTACTTATTTCGAACCTGAGCAACTCAGACATAAATTCCAACACCTTAATAAAGTGATTGAACGTTGGGAGAAAATCCAGTTCGAAGGACCAAAATGTTGAGAAATGGGATTACCAACTAAGATATAATTTATAATTTTTAAATATAGGGAACACTTAGGTGATAAAAGACAGCAAATCGTCTACACAGCCGCCCCTGAAGACGAGGTCTTGAATTTTTGCCATGATCATCTCTCAATGGGCTGGAATAGATCATATTATGTAAACAATAAATTACCCCTAGGGGGTGTTATGTCAGCATATTTCATTCACTGATGGCTGACAAAC